ATGCACGATCTACTAATAGTTGAACATGAATTAAATATAAAATGAAATTTTCATTGATAAATTTTAAAACTTCTTAAATGGATGCATACCATTTTATTTAGGAGTACGAATTAATTTGAGATTAATGGAATTTAAATTGAATTCAATCAGAATCAAGGTGAAGAATCTGACCACTAAATTGTGGCGGTCGATTGGATTTAAGTTTTCGTAAGTATTGTGGCTGAAACACAGATGGGCGATAAAGCTGCAGTTAGTGCATTTATGCGTCATACAAGTTACTACATATACTCTTAATCTTAATAGAGCTAAGACAGATTATGTTGCAGGGGGAAGACATCGATCTTTCTGGGAGTTATTAGACGGAGATTTATTAAGAGTTATATCAATATATGTTGCTATATTCATGATATAAATAAAGGAGTCGGTGAATGCATTTTGGAGGGAGCACTCTACTACACATGATATCTTTGGGTTGCAACACGTAAGCGGATATTTCATGAACAACAGTTGGATACTTTTAAGATAAGCATTCTAGATTCTGTATAAAGATGATCAATATGAAATTGCAATCCGCAGAGTCGTGTTATGACAGGATTGTAATTGAAAAAAAAATACACAATATAGTCATATTGTTTTTTTATTTTAAAAAAAATTACCATTCGAACATAGATTAGTTGGTAGCCCATAATTGTCCGAACAAAGAGCTTTCACTGTATCACTTCACAACTAAGTAAGTGAATAAACTTTTATGACAAAGAAACAGAATCGGTCAGACCAACGTTTTATTATTCTTTCCTTTTATTATCCTTTCCTTATTAAGAAGGAAAACATAATAAATAATTTTCAAAAGTAAAGAGTATTGATAACCCTTTTCAATTCACTGTAATAGACAGCTGTTAAGGCATAACCATATGATCACAAAATAAATACTACAAGGGTTAAAATAAATAGAAATGTAAAAGAGTGTAAATAGGAGTGTAAAAAGTAGATCACAAGAAATTAACATTATTGGTATTTTATTTTTATATAAACATTTGGAATATTAGATATTATAAGAATATATGATTGTATAAGAAAAATAATTTTAAATGCATTAGTAGAACTTAATTTTTCAATCAAAAAAAAATAAAATAAAATCAATTAAATATTTCCTACTTCACTGTATTTCATTTAAGAAGTTTTAAAACTCCATTGCACAAATTAAAAAATTTTTCATTTTTATTAAGGAGTGAAAAAATGCAATATAAAATAAAATAAAGTAACATTAAAAATAATGACAGTCTATCATGTGTTTTCATTGTTGCTCGCATCCCACATCACCATTTATGGGAGCACAAAACAGAAAAAAAAGCAACTGACAAGAAGAGCAATGACAAAAAAGAACATTATTGTATGTACCAAAAGCAAAACACGAGAAAAAGTGGCGTCACTTTCTTCCAGTGCTCGTTGGAATGGAATACTCATTCGAATACAGAAACAGAAACACCAAAAACATATGAAACGAATTGATAAAGGAAACGCGCAAACAGAACAGGCATAAGCAGCAACCGCATGGAAATATGAGCGACACACAACACACCTTTCTGTACCTTGTTTTTGTGTACAATTTGTTTTGTGCACAATCAACGTAAAATCTGCATAACAAAGAAAGACAGTAAAATATTTTCCACATTCTTGAGTTTTGTCTTCAACTCCGTACTCTTTTTAATTTACTCTTTTGCGTACAAGCAGTGCGAGAATAGACAAGAAATTTGTGTGTTCTGTAGCAGTGCAGAACACACAGATGGTTTACCGCCAGGCTGCAGCAGCAGCAAACGAAGAGTATGTTCAAAAATACAATACCGAAACAAACAAACAAAAATCAATAATATGCAGTTTTAGTTGTTTTAAAACATAAAATTGTGTGAAATATTTTCTTCATTTAAGAACACATTTAATTCATTTTCAATCCACAAATACAAATAATAAAAATAAGATAAAAAATTGTAAACTTACTGCAATTCATCATCCAACTCTTCGGCGCTGTTATAGTCAACGGTACCCAATATGACTTCCTCGGTTTTTATGGTTACAGGAATAGACATTGTGTTTTATTTTAAACAATTAAATATATCCCTGCGAAATATTTAAATATACTTTATTTATATACTTTATTTGATGTATTAAATTTTATATTATGTATTCACAAAAATAATTTAAATATACACATATATGTATATTGTAGAAAAAAAGAACAATATATTTATAAATTTAATAGAAAAAAAACACGTGTTTTTATAAAAGTTGGTTACTTGCGTTATTTTTACGTTTTTATAGCAACCTTTAATTTGCATTCATAATATTTAATTAATTTTTTACTCAATATTCGAAAAAAAAAATTTTTTTAAATAAAACTAACAAAAACAGAAATCAGCGGTAGCGCTATTATTTTTCATATGTTTTTGGCTTTATGCCTTTGAACAAATTTCACAAATTGTATGGTCACTTTTTTGTCTCACTCGCACATATGCGCAAGAATATGTACATGCATGCAGCAGAAGCATGTATGAGAAAATAAAAAAAAATTGCTGTTTAACTTGCATTCACATTCGAAAAATATATAAATGAAAATTTTAATATTAATTTTTATTTATTAATAAACAAATTAAACTTGTATATTTATACTCCAAATATTACTTTTAATGTTCGAATGTTATAGAAACAAACTTTAATTGTATGAATTTTGTTATTTTCTCTACGTTTCTAGCAGTTTTATACACTGAACATACCGAAAAAAGAGTTTGTCAGCTGCAAGTTTTATTAGCGGCAAATTGCTATATATAATATAATCACAAAATTTTAATTTTATTTTGGAATATAAAAACAATAATTATTGTTAAATAAACACAAATTTATTTATATTTTAACTATTTATTTTTAAATATTCACACACAATTTCCAATTTTCGCTGAAAATTTTTCCGTACACTACAGATCGCGACCGTATTGTTCAAACGCTGTAAACGTAATAAAACTGAAACACTGAGAAGTCGTGTATATAAATCAGTTTGTGTGGATTGTATTAGCAGACTTGTATGCAATACAATCCACAATGTCGTATGCTCTTCTCACCAATTGTTTAGTATAGTAACTGTATGATTTGTATGTGTTCCTTCTCTTTCGAATAACAAATAAAATGTTATGCAGAAGTTTTACAGTTTATAAAACTGCACAATGAATGTGGATTGTGGAAATGCACTTTAATTGATATATTTTTCGGCTTATTAGTTTTTTTAAATATTTAAATTTTATATAACATGTATAAATATAAATTATTTAAATAATTTTTTTTAAATTTTTTACAATTTTATGAATTAAATCATTTTTAATTGCAGTTTATTAATATACGTAAATAGTAAAACCCGCAAAGCAGGAAAATTAATTTTTACTTAATAAAATTCAATTAACTCAAAAATATATTATATATTAATTATATATCAGCAAAACTAATTTAATAATTTAATAAAATTAAAAATTATGGCACATTTACATAGAAAATAACTTTCATATATAGAAAATAATTATTTTAAAGACATTTTTGACACTGATTTAAATGAATTTCTAGAGTATTCCGATGAATTTCGTCGAA